TCTTAAGAAAGCACTAGAAACAACCGGGCTAAACGAAGACGTAATAAGAACTATTCGCCCATTCTTCCCGTTATCTAATTGTTGTTAGAAACGGCATATCTCCTATAATGAGCGAGTGTTTTTGCAAAGGGCTTTTACAATATTTCCCGCATAGACATGTATTTTTCTTCTCATTTATAACAGAAGTTTTTTGAACATTTCATGAGAAAAAATTTTGCGTGGTTGCTAAAGATGGCGCATCCATCTGAACGCATTCTATACTCAACATAGATCTTTCGAATGTACCCAAATGTTTGTGAAAAATATCTTAAAACCTCTGTGGAAAAAAAGTAAACAGAAAACCCGGGGTATAAGGTTTATTCTAAACATTCACAGCCAAATTTACGCTTCAGGTGACGGTCGCAAATGCCGTGTAGAAGTACAGTCCTAACTGGCCCGATGCTAATATTTGCATTGCTCTGTCCATCACACTCTGCCACATCTCTCTTGACCAATTCGCCATGATGACGTTTGTAGTCTACATGGAAGTTTTCTTTGCTAAACAAAGTTAAGCAATATGGAAATTTGCAAACCGTGAGAGTTTCTGAGATTAACTTGTGAGTGTCGGCAGTGGCACCAATAAGCATACTTGTGCTCAATTCACACATTTCTCCTGGGTTACCCATAAGGCATAAGCCACTCACAGCACTGCGGACGACAATGCAGTGTGGTTGCATCGGGTCGGGTGCAACTGCAAGCAATTTCTTCACTCAAACATTCGCCTTCACTGCGAAATATGGTAAATGCGAAACTAGTTTTTGATAGTAAATCCAACGTTTTCCATTTGTCTAATTGAACTAAATATGCTTAGATAAAAAAATTAATGTGTATTCATTGAAACAAAGATTAGATTTCTCAGTAGCGGATTTTTAGTTCTCTCGGAGTCGTAATAATTTGCCACAGTGTGTGCGATAAAGCTGCAATTGAACTTTACAACGGTTTCAAGAATGAAGTAAAAAAAAAGGACATCGAAACGTTTATCATTTTTCTAGTGTATAAAATACAAGGACTAAAATGTTCACTGCAAATAGGAATTCTAATCCTTCACTTATTTATTTATTTGTCTATTTTTTTACACTACCCGTCATCACATTTTCTATTGTGCGGATCAGAGTACTTCCAGCATTCGAATCGTTGTTCGCCTTCTTGTTGAGTGGCTTAGAGTACTGATCGAGCATGTCTCCTAGCAGTCTCGAGGATAGCCCAGCTGTGGCGTTCCATAGAGCGTTCTAGTTCGCTGCCGTATAGTACTGGAGGTGGAGCTTAGCTTTATGCGCGTCCTGGCCAACATCACAACCACTGGGCCCCGGTGCCACCAGAAATTCAAATAATTGTGAATTTGCTCAAATTGTGCAGACAGAAATGAAGCAGAAGTGTCCCACTTTATAGGAGAGAAATTAAGGCTCTTACTTCCTCTTTACACAATGATTAATCCCCGAAATGTATAGATAGAAACTGAAAACCCTAACGAATGCGAACGCAGAGTTGCAATCATTGAATCAAAAGAAAGAAAAGAAAAGAAAAACCGCGTTGAAAATCTCTCACAAAAATGACCTACTGATTAAGAAAAACTTACCAGGAATATTACTTTTCAAAAGACAATCAAGACAACGAATTGCTCCGGACGTCCAGGTTGGAAACAGACCACCACAATGAACCACATTTGCCTGAGAGAGAAAGGAAAGAAATTTGAGCTAAGGCCCGCGCCACTTGTGAATAAGAGTTATCTAAGCATCCAAGTAGAAGGACATTCGTCTCAAAGCATTCAAAGAGGGTTCGAAAACCAACTATTTTAAGTCTCTTTTCACACCTGAGGCGTTTGCCCATTTTCAATGTGAGATGATTTTTGCAACTTCATTAATGAAAATGCAGTTCTTAAATGTTCTCTTATGCATTAACAGCGTAATCGCCTCACGTCATGTCGAATGCTGAAAACGTACACATAGCCATTGGATTAGCTTGAATTGCCTTGCATTCAAGTGGGTTGTAGCTGATCCTAACACTGAGTTGATCCAAAATAGCAGAGATTATTGCGTCAGGAAGGAGAACAACGCGACCTTGCTGTTGGAGAACATCTAGATTTAGAAGTAAAGTTTCCACGTTCTAGAAATTCTTTGAAAGTTGTCTCGAGTAAAATATTATCAAGCAAGCAGCATTGATATTCGCATACCAAAGATTTGTCAGAAAGCGGAGGTCACCTACAACAACTTTCAAGAATTTGCAAAAAAAGTGAGATCCAGGGGTTTGCAACTCACTGTTTGCATCACAATACGTGTTAAAAATGCTTGTACTGCTCCACTGCTTGTATGAATGCCGGGAAACATAGCAGGAAGAGTGGAAGTTCCAGTGTAGACCATGGAAACAGGTAAAGTGAAGCCGGTGACGTTGAAACCAACAGTCCTTGCTGTAACGAATCTTTACCTTTGTGATAAGCAGTGGAAACTTGAATCATTTCAGCAAATGGCTTTTGGTGTCTCTTTTTGTATGGACATTGCAAGGCCCTTTTATTTGAAACTTCAAATCACCACAGCTATTTAGTAGTATGATTTGCACTATGATAAGATTATTCTAATCATTACCTAGACCGAGTGGCATCACTCAGCATCCCAACACCGTCCCAATTGTAAACATCAAAATCACAACTATGTCGGAGTGAAGTCTCGCCATGTTTATGGGACTGCTCACTTCCAGGCCCTATAAAATCTATCACATGTTTATTGATGATGATTAATGATCAAAGAGCTCACTCGACTAAAGAAAAATTATCTTTGATTAAAACCATTCCTTTAGCCAAGCTGGTGCTTGTGCTTTTGTATTTTCTGAATTAGTACCATTGACGGACGACTATCCATTGAAAAAAATGGATTTGAATACTGTTGAGAGCAATGCAGAGCAAGAGCCTTGACGGTTAGTGGATAATGCGGCACCACGCAGAAGGGTTAATCGAAGGTTTGAAGTCAATTCAAGAACATTCATTCATTCGTCAACAAATTTTTTGCTACATATCATTTTTATGGCAGCAACGGACCATGAGATAGGCACGCTGTCACTAAAATGAGGTGGCTTTCTAGTAGTTTTCTGATTGTTTCAATATTCTTAGACTTTCTATTACAACATATTTTGAGCAAATATCGTCGTTGTGACATTTAAGCAATTTCATGATTAGAAGTACATAAAACTAGTTGGTAAAAATTTAATGTGAAATTATGAATAAGAGCGAGGTATCTGTAAGCTCTTTCTAAGGAAAACACTTCGCTGCATGAACCACCTTAGAGCATGTCTCAAATTTGCTTCCCACCAACTATTTGTGTTGGCGCGTCATAAATTCTGTCTTTCCCAAAATTAAGGAATTAGCGCAGAAAAACACTCCGTTAGGATTGCACTTTTGGAAAAAACTTTGTTAAGGAGGAATCGACTGACATAAACGAAATGGCTTTGATGTTTGCATTGGTGTCTCCCCTCAGCACTCCAATAGCACCATTAATCCATAAGACGTGATAGCTGTTAACTCTTTTTCTGATGACGACGGTGACTAATGGTAAAAAGAACAATATCTGCTGAATTTTATAGAAGAACTCAGAAACGGAAGAAGGACAAAAGTTACAGAGCTCTGCTCATAAAAGGAACGAAATGTCATGTGGTGCTTTGAGTCACAGGAAAAGCAGCTTCAACGGAGCGCGAACTTCTCTCAAAGGAGAAGAATCCTTCACTCTGGTGGAGCCGCCAATGCACTGAGATAAGAAAATGAAACGCACGTTCTTGGGAACGTGATCGAGATAACTATGAGCTGCAGATTTTGTTGAGTTCGCTTCAAGTTCTCGATGGCGCTAGGTGTTTATGAAGCACCGTCCGTTTTTTGCAATTTTTCTACGATATGTAGATGGAATAATGTTGGTTATTTTATAATTTGTATGTCGAAGATTTCTTAACCATTTCTGTAACGGTTGCAAGGTCTCTTCTAATTCTCCTCGATTCGGCCGAATTTGGATAGAGTCGTTTGAAAAATTCATAAATTTATTGTCATATAGCCGGAAGATATCACAATTCTTTTACCCGTGTTTGTCCCGTGTTTTTTTATGTTTATGAACCTACTACTACTTCAATTGTTATAACGCGTTGCAGCCCATCTCACAAACCCTCAAGTATCCTTAGACCGTCTACGCAATAAGGCTCGAGACAACACTTGTGCGCAAGAGTTTTTAGGCGTGATCACCCCTTATACAAACGTGTAGAATCACTCCGCTATGTGAGACATCCTAGAAGCTTCTACGGAAGGCGAAGGAGCTATAAACATGCACAGATTGTCAGTTCAGAGTTTTCAAAAGGGTAGCTTAACTCAATCAGGAATTACTTGCCACAAATGAGACGCTTGGCAGCGAAAACATGGCTAGATCCAAGCCTTCATAGCCTTTATGTCTGAGGTGTATTGCACATCAATATGTCATTGATAAACAATTGGTTGCAGATATTCACAGTACTGCCTGATTTTCTGCTCTACACAAGAGAAGATGGAAAATTACTTTGAATTGTTGTATCAGCAGTCAAAGTAAATTAGATTCACTAGGGAAAAAGCGAAAGAACATCGGTATCTATTCCAGAAAGTTCAAATTATCCGTAAGCGATTACAACTGAAATGGTACAGAGAACAAGATGAAAACAAAATGCTTCTCTACCTTTAATTTCATCCGTCACATACATAGCGAGCACTTGTGAAAGACGTGGTTTCGAGCATCTAGCAATGTGAACACAGGAAAAAAGCATAAGGAGGAATCTCCTAAACTTCATGTGTAAATAGTCATTTCCGATGGTTACAGATTTGCTGGTTTCGGTTTAGATAAAGAGAAAAATCTATGCTCCTTGATTATAGGTTTAGTACTTGAAATTTCCAGTATTTTAGTGCATTTTTCGCAGTGTTATTATGTTTCATAAATACATAAGAAATCTGAGCGGTGAGCAAAAATTGGCCTCAGGCGGGAATCGAACCCGCATTTCATCCATACCGTGGACGCGTGCTAATTCCACCACAACACTGAGTCACATTTGCGTCACGATTCATTCTCAACATCTCTATGTTAGCTCACAGCCACCAACCTTTAACAGGTTTGGCCGGATATGCGATTTTGCTTTATGAACGCAGTTGAGCTAACAGCCATTGTGATAACTAATAATCGAAATGGCTGATAGCTAACATAGAGATGTTGAAGAACGAGTTGTGGCGCAAATGTGCCTCGGTGGTGTAGTGGTAGAGCACGCGCCCTCTGTATGGATAAAACGAGGGTTTGATTCCCGCCTGAGGCCGTTTTTTGCTCATCACTCATTTCTCTTAGGTATATAAGCTTAATGAAAATAAGGTCTCATTAACTCTCTTTTGCAATTCTGAGGAAGTGACCACAGTTTTGAACGCTCCTTGAAAAGGGCTAGTTTACAAAGAACGGCAGAAGTGACTAACGTATAACCATGGACTCTGGAGCGCTAGAAAGTCCGTAATCGTTTGTATCATCGTCTCCGCCAAGCAAAAAATTTCATATTATGCTCTAACAGAAGAGATGCTAGCTGTATGATATTTGGTACAATGTACCTGATCTCTTGTGAAGTATGTGGGGATGAATACATTGACAAAATGAGTTTACCGCTCTGTATTCTTATATACGAGCAGCTTGAAAAAGAGTCAAACACTTATTTTACTAGACGCTAATAGCTGACTTGGTACAGCATCGCACCGAAAGTCTAAGAATACTGTAATATATTTGTTGTTCGCTCAGCTACTGAACTAAGACAATACGGAAGTTCTGCAACGAGAAAGTGCTATGACGTGGAACCGTCGCAACAAGGAAGTGCGAGACAGAAGTGTTTATTCACCAAATTTTAGCATCCGTAAAAAAGTCATAACACAGTAGCTTATTCTACAACGACGACGGTGCTCTCGATTTGCCGTCCACGAAATGAGCAAGGCAAAATTTATCACGTTTTGTGCCGGCGATATTCCACAAACATATTTGCGGTAAGTGAAACCTTATCCATTTGTACTGCTTCGGTCGCTACTGTACTCCAGCACGAGCAATGGAAGGAGTGTTTTCCTGGACAGTTTTTACTTGCTGGAGAAGCTGTCTGCAAACATGTCTTAAAAATCGATTTCCACGCTATAACATGCTGCACGGCAATTTTGTAAATCCAAAGAATCAGTCTGCTCTTATTCACCAATGAAAAGGCTTGAATGGTATTATTATAATGGCTGTTCTTCGCAGTTTTATCTCTTAAAATTCATGAGAATTGCGCACTGTTTTTGCTACAAAATGTAAGAGAGCTTCAAAAACAGTGCGTAGTGTTTGGGTTCTGCTGGCCATCACTAGAAAAAGGTAAAGTGTTGAATTTATTTTGACGACCGTTTTCAAACGTCTGCAGCAATAAGAACAATCAGTAAAAACGCTGCAGTAGTTAAAGAAGTGGGATCGAAATTCACTACACCGCGACAAGCCATCACAAGCACTCGCCCATGGCCATTTAGTTAGTTATGGTATTTCAAATCAATATCTTCCCAATTCTCTGAAATAACAAGTGCTTGTTAAAAAATTTGCCCTGCTAAGGATTCAACATATCCTCTTTTTATGTGCTCGATTGATAAGAGCTTTCAATTCTAATAACTCTTGGTGATTTGGGTCTTCATAGTAGCAACGGATCGAATCCAACAAACTGCAATACTGCTTAAATAAAACTTCCTCATCTACTGGATCTCTTCTGTATCCGTCAGTACTAAGCCAGGTGTTCAGTGATCGGTTTTTTTGAAGACAATCCATACCACAAAACAACAGGATTAAGAAGTTTTGTAACACCTGCCTGAGCACATTGCAAGCACAGCAGGACAAAAGCTTTCCTCAGAAAGGTGCTCTCCTATTGGAACACTGTGTAAAAATTTCACATATACTCACGTTGATAGAGATCATTCTCACTGCGAAAAGTTATAGAGGTTTTAAAGAAATTACTAAGCGAGAATTAGTGACAAATCACTGTGCATTCCAGGCATTTATGCAAATACTTGTTTTCTACCGGCTTACTAATATACTTTACTTCAAATCACTCTGCAGCGCGATAAATTTTGCTTTTATTTCCCATTGATTTTTTCTTTCCTCGAGGTGTCAATTTTCTTTATGCCACTACTCGATCTTGAATTGATCAACTGGATGCCTTCGTTTATGTGAATCAGCGGAAAGTGCCAAAATATTTTTGCCGAACTGAAAACCCTTTCGTTTTCACAAGGGAAGTTTTTCCTGCATTGAATATGTGTCCAGTAATCTCATTGGAACAAATCAGTAGTCACAAGTTCAGCAATAAACTGCGAAAAGTGAATTATTTTTAGAGCTGACAAGAAGGTAGAATGGCTACCAACACTCATCGATAATCTATGGTGAAGCAGGATCTCATCCGGATAAGAGGCAAAACTCGGCTATCACACTGACAGGAACATACCTGTATTACCTAGTGGTAAGAAGAAAGCCATACTGCATGTCATTCCACTTGGATGGTATGAAGCCTCATAATAATCCATTCAAATGTTGCATTAATATGCACTTATCATACACAAATGATTCTGTCTCCAGTATATGGAAGACAGTGACTGATTCACTATTTATCTGCGCAGGTCAATCTTTCCATCAACTATGAGCCACTTGAGACTTGCGATCTCTTCACATTGGCAAAAGACGAAGGGTTCTGCCCGACTGACGAGACTATAAGGTTGAAACACGTGTGTCGGGCTGTACAAGAGCCAATGACAGATCACGAGACAAGTTGACTCGAATAACAATCATGAGATCTATTGAAATCTGATTATGGTCTTGACAAAACATTCAAAACGAACGGACTAAACGAAGACGTTACATGAAGACATTGCCCGTTCTTCGCAATATCTGTATGTTGTTAGAAACGACATCTTTCCAGTAATGAGCGAGTGTGTTTGCAACGGGCTTTTACAATATTTCGCGCTTAGATATGCATTACTCTACTACCTATGAACGTGAGAAATTTTTTTTTACCATTTCATGAGAAAAAAATTATTAGTGACTGCTAAAGGGCACATCCGACTAAAAATTTTAAATTCAACATAGAAATTTCGCATAAATCCAGTGAATGCAGAGTAATATCTTGGAATTTCTGTGAAGAAAAAGTAAGCAGAAAATCTAGTGGTATAAGGTTCATTCTGAACATTTACGGCCAAATTTGCACTTCAGGTGACGGTCGCAAATGCTGTGTAGAAGTAGAGCCTTAACTGGCCCGATCCTAATATTTGTATTGCTCTGTTCAGTACACTCTGCCACATCTTTCTTGACCAATGTGCCATGATGACATTTGTAGTCTGACTGAAAGTTTTCTTTGCCAAACTAAGTTAAACAACATGAAATTTTGCAAACCGGGAGAGTTCTTGAGATTGACTTGTGAGTGTCGTCAATGGCACCAATAAGCATACTCGTGCTCAGATCACACATAGCTATTCCTGGCTGAGCCATAAGGCATAGGCCAGTCACTACGTTGCCGATGACGATGCAGTGTGGATGCATCGCGCCGGGTGCAACTGCAAGCAATTTCTTCATTCAAACATGCGCTCTCACTACGAAATATGGTACATGCAGAAACTAGTTTTTGGCAGTAAATCCACCGTTTTCCATTTGTCTTATTATGCTAAAAATGCTTAAACAAAAAATGATGTGTAAACAATAACACAAAGATTGGATTTCTCAGTAAAGGTTTTTGTTTTTCGGAGTCGTAATAGCTTGTCACAGTATGAGTGATAAAACTCTAATTATACTTTGCAACGGTCTTAGGAATATAATAAAAAGAAATATGTATGCCAATCAAAACGTTTATCATTTCGCTAATGTTCAAAACACAAGGGCAAAGATTCTCACTGCAAGTAGAAATTCTATTTATTCATTTAGTTATTTACTTATTTATTTATTTATTTGTTTACACGACCCGTTATCACAATTTTTATTGTGCGCATCCCAGTACTTCTAGCATTCGATTCGTTTTTCGCCTTCCTGTTGAATGACGTAGAATACTGGTCGAGCATGTCTCCTTGCAATCTCGAGTATAGCCCAGCTGTGGCATTCCATAGGGCGTTCTTGTTCACTGCTCAATAGTGTTGGGAGGTGGAGCTCAGCTCCATGCCCGCTGTAACCAACAACACAACCACTCGGCCCCGGTGCGACCAGAAATTCAATTATTTGTGAAACTGCTCGACTGTGCAGACAGAAAAGAAGCAGGAGTATTCCATTTTACAAGAAAAAAATTGAAGCTCTTACTGTCCTCTCTACACAATGACCAATCCCCGAAAGGTATAGATTGAAACTGAAAAGTAACGAAAGCGAACGCACAGTCGCAAGTTCCGAATCAAAATAAAGAAAGAAAATAAAAACCACATTGAAAAAGGTCTGTCTACGATACATCTTTTACAAAAATGACAAACTGATTGAGACCATTTTGCCAAGAATATTATTCTGAAGAAGACAATCATGACAACGAACTGCCCCTGATATCACCAAAATTGGAATAGGCCACACAATGAACGACATTTGGTCGAGAGAGAAAGGAAAGAAAATTGAGCTAAGCCCCGCACCACTTGTGAATAAGGGTCATCTCAGTATTCAAGTATAAAGGCGTTAGTCTTAGGGCATTCGGAGAGGCTTTAAAAACCGACCTTATCTCAAGTCCCTTTTCACACCTGAGGTGTTTTAGCATTTTCAATGTTAGATGATTTCTGCAACAGCATTAAAGAAAATTCAGTTTTTTTTATGTGTTCTTTCGCGTTAACAGAGTAATCTCAGTCTCCTCACGTCATGATGAATGCTGAAAACTTACACATGGCCATTGGATTAGGATTAATTGCCTTGCATTCAAGAGGATTGTACCTGATCATAACACTAACTTGATCCAAAATGGCAGAGATTTTTGCATCAGGAAGGAGAGCGACGCGACCTTGCTGTTGGAGAACAGCATAGATCTAGAAGTAAGGTTTCCACGTTATAGAAATTCTTTGAATGTTGTCTGGAGTACAATATAATGAGGCAAGCAACATTGATACTCGCAGAACCAAAGATTTGTCAGAAGCGGAGCTCACCTATTAGAACTTTTGAAAATTAGCAAAAATGTGGGATCCAAGGGTTTACAACTCACTGTTTGCATCACAATCGTGTTAATGATGCTTGTACTGCTCCACTGCTTGTATGAATGCAGGGAAACATAGCAGGAAGAGTGGGAGTTTCAGTGTAAGCCATGAAAACAGGTAAAGTGAAGCCGGTGACGTT